CGCATCTACCGCGTGGCCCGTTTAGGAGGCCAATACAAACACAAACACATACGCACGACACTTCGTCCATCAATTTCGAGGATGTCCACTGTATGCTCCACAGTAGGGTGGTGCAGGGATGCTGAATTACGCAGCATCTACCATACTCTCTATTTCTTCATCCACCTGTGCCTCGTGTCAAGACAGAGGGACAAGGAAACCACTGTCGGTATCGGGCGCAGGTGGCTGTCGCGGCCAAAGCCGCCCCTATGCGTGTCACACACCCTCCCCAACGTTTGGCATTTTTTATTGGAGCGCAGCCCGAATAAAGCTTGCCTTACACTGCTCTGGCCCTCATGATGGATGTGCTGGACAGACGCGTACACACTCGCACTCGACTGTCGACTTCGGTGATGTCCACAAGATGGTGGGAACAGGGACAGTGATTACGTTCGAATTAGCTGATAGTGATAGTAGGTTTTTAAACAATCTACGGCACTCTCTCTCCCCTCTCATCTGAGTCGGATACCAAGACAGGTCTAAGAAGACCGAGAGTGGGATAGAGGGCGCAGATGTTTGGTGCAGCGTGAGCCCGCACGTAGGCGGGCCACACATAGTCGGTTGTTCAATCCAGTCACATTTTAAGACTGAACTAAGTAGAGTTGATATGAGACTAAGTACACTGACTGATGGCCTATCGAGCCCAGCATAGTTAACACAAGATCATACGGATTAATACTGGCTGCCGAAACTGACTTTTTACATGGGAGTATTCACGTCCATAGTACAAAAATCTATTGGAGTTGTTATGACACAGACCAGCATCGCTGATTTAGCTTAACCCTCATAGAGCCTCCGATGTACAGGAACATTGCAGACTATGACTTTGTGGGGCCGAAAAAATAAATCAGGAAGTTGAATGAAATGTGCTGGCACCCCAAATAGCAAACTTAGAGAACCTCCTTTTCAACTCAGCAGATAGTAAGCATAGTTGATAACAAGCAAATGGAATTGCTTAGATAAGAATTTTATTTGCCTGACGTTTTGAAATTCGTCGCGGATCCAGCATGAAAGACAATAGCAGAAACGAGTAATTCATACAGAGGAAATCGCGATATTTATAGGATATAGTCGATATGTTACTGCATTCTTATGAAAATTAACGGTTCCCCATATCGAGGACAGCAGTCCGCTTGTGTGCTAATTGCTTGATGGCCGCGAGAGGTGACAATCCCGTGCGTCGTGAGTTACTTGAGCCATGGTTTCCGGGCCCACAGTCCATAAGTGCAACGATCTGCCCAATCCATATTCGATCCTGACACTTAATTTGGCCAAAGAACGTGACCACTTGAAGAATGCACAGGGCAACGCGTCGCCTAAAGCCACCGCCAAGGAACCAGAGGGCCTGGCACACGCATTTTGGCTTGGATTATCAAGCAATCATAATTGCTTTGCTGCAAAATGATTCCCCCCGAGGTCCAACCAGACGAGAAGTTAAGTATGGCTCTGGTTCCGATAGTAACTGGGTGGTTAAGATGACTTTGTGAGGCTTTAACTGAGGGTCGTTGGGACACAAAGAATATCGTCCGAAGAAGAGAAATGCCTGCTGCATTTGAATCAACCTGAATTCCACAAAGGTGTCCGAAATGAAATCATAATTCTATAAATTAAACGAAAGAACTACTTTGTGCAATTCAGTAGACAGTTATTTATTTTTATCAAAGAGGCTGATTGGGCAAGCAACAACCGGCAGTAACTTGAAGCTTTCACATATAAGCGGCATTTTATTGAAGCGTAAAAACTCCAAGTTAACTGCAATCACCTGACAAAAACGCCTGCAATAAACTATCATGCTTAATGGTTCTGCTGCCTAGATCATCCCTGGCGGATTAAAATCGCGGCATCCGTGGAACTAACCTTCAAACCCTTTGCCCGATTGATGGCTCTCAGTGGACGCAAAACCCTCAAGACTCGAAGGATTTTGACGGCAGAGATAGCTTCATTTCTACAATTAAGGATGAACTGGATGATAACAAGTAGGAAACACAAAATGGGAGTGTTTTGCGGCAAAATAAAGTAACAAATGAATAGAAATTGAACAGAACGCGACACCGGTGGTCTAAATTGTTATAATCACTGCAAACATACGAGAAAGTAATGCGGAAAGAGGCAACACAAAGAAAGGAAAAGTCAACAAAACTTACTCAAGCACGAAGGAAATCAGAGCCACGAAGACCACAATGAGGTCGAGTAAGTTGAACATGCTTCTGCAGAAGGCACCCTCGTGCATAATGAACCCATGAGCAATCATCTGTGTTAACAAAAGGACCAAGATGTGGCTAATATTACAAAGGCATAGGAACAGATTTTGGGCAATGGTAAGCTGTGCAATTCAAATAAAGTTGAATAATCTCTAAAATAGAAGCCTTATTTCCAACCTTGCTGCATTGTAAGTTTAAAAATGCTATGGAAGTTGACCGTTTTGACAATGAACAACTGACCTTCAGGGTAATTTCAATTGTGAAGACGCTGGTGAAGAAGAAGTCGAAGTAATTTAATACCTGAAAGGGTCACAAAACGTTAAGCTTTAGGCAAGGAAGGGAGATTGCTAGATGAGAATTAGGGTTACTATCTGTAACCAGAGATATATATTTAGGAGACGACAGTAATATTTTGTTACACACACAGAACGATATCAGTAGGACCGAACTCGTTCTACTTAACTGAAATTTGACATGCGGTACCACCTAAGTAAGAAGAACACTCTTCGTAGAATCTAGAAAATTCATGCGGACAGTTCGACTTAAGGCGCATGTAAAGGTAAGATGTTTGTCTTTGTTGTTGTCGAA